AGGAAGCAGCAGCAAGGAGATATGCATACATTACATGACCTATCAGGAATTCAATATTAGGATGCAACAAATCTAGATTTTAAACACAAAATTCATAAAAAACTGAACTGAGAATATAAACTTTGATGGTTAGCTCCCTAATATGTATTTCCAAACATTCTTTTTATTGATATTGTTTTGCTGTTTCATTTTTTGAATTTTTCTTGTTTAACATTAATTACCATTTCTGGCCTGAACAAACATATAGAGCAACGAGAATTTTTCTTCACTTTTAACCAGGTCACATTCTTTGTTATGTCTGTTGTTTTTTCCCCCTGAATCTGGTGAATGTGGCAATTGGTTAGGAGAATATGTAAATAGTAAAAGAATGATTAAAGAATAATTTTCATTTTGCTAAGAAATGAGAGAAAAATTGATTGCATGGTTTGTCATGCTTAGATAGCTGCAACATTAACATTCATTCTTTTATTTCAGTTAAAGGGAAAAAATACAATATCTGGACGACAGGAGGTATCTAGGATTATGTTGGTTGCACTTATAAGGAAATATGTATGTATATATATTTAACTCATATCCTGCATGGTCCCGTTTCAACTTTATCAAATATATTAAAAATTTTTCTATAAAAAAGTTAAGTTATCGATAACTTTTCTAATAAAACATCAAGTTATTGATAACTTTTTTATAGCAACATCAAGTTATTGAAATCTTCTCTATAGAAAAGTCAAAAAGTTATTGATATCTTTTCTATTGAATGGCCATGTTATCGATAACTTTTCAATAGAAAGGTCAAGTTATCGATAATTTTTCTATAGAAAAGTCAAGTTATTGATAACTTTTCTATAGAAAAGTCAAGTTTTCGATAACTTTTCTATAGAAAAGTCAAGTTACCGATAACATTTCTATAGAAAAGTCAAGTTATCGATAACTTTTCTATAGAAACGTCAAGTTATCGATAACTTTTCTATAGAAACGTCAAGTTATCGATAACTTTTCTACAGAAACGTCAAGTTATCGATAACTTTTCTATAGAAACGTCAAGTTATCGATAACTTTTCTATAGAAAAGTCAAGTTATCGATAACTTTTCTATATAAAAGTCACGTTATCGATAACTTTTCTATAGAAAAGTCAAGTTATCGATAACTTTTCTATAGAAAAGTCAAGTTATCGATAACTTTTCTATAGAAAAATCAAGTTATCGATAACTTTTCTGTAGAAAAGTCAAGTTATCGATAACTTTTCTATAGAAAAGTCAAGTTATCGATAACTTTTCTGTAGAAAAGTCAAGTTATCGATAACTTTTCTATAGAAAAGTCAAGTTACCGATAACTTTTCTATATAAAAGTCACGTTATCGATAACTTTTCTATAGAAAAGTCAAATTATCGATAACTTTTCTATATAAAAGTCAAGTTATCTCTAATTTTTCTATAGAAAAGTCAAGTTACCGATAACTTTTCTGTAGAAAAGTCAAGTTACCGATAACTTTTCTATAGAAAAGTCAAGTTATCGATAAATTTTCAACAGAAAAGTCAAGTTACCGATAACTTTTCTGTAGAAAATTTAAGTCATCGAAAGGTCAATAACAAATTTAAAGTTGTTTAATAATCTTAAATCGAAAATTTTTTATAAGAAATTAATTTTCTCTAAACAATAAATTTACATCCGGACATGACACAGGTCATGTTCTCTCATGTTCTTGTACAAAATTATTATAATTATTTCAAAAAAAAAAAAAAATCTCTTTCGTTTTTGATGCATTAAAAAGCAATATCATGTAAAAATTATATTTTATTAGACCGCCTGACTGTATGCAACACGTACGTGCGTGTTCATTGTCCAATGGGAATAAAAATTAAATACAAAGATTTGAAAGCAATTATGGTGCAATGTCACGAAATCATTCATCATCATCATCAGTAGTAGCGTGGTAAACTTGCTTAAGGCGTGTTTAGATTTATATTTAGATACCATGTTACATATTTTAAAATAAACAATAAAATGCTTTATTTATTTAGGAAAATATAAAATAACAGCATACTTTAGGGAGTTAACGTTTATTTAATATTAATAGCCTACTTTTGGGCGAACCTTTATTTGAATTCAAAGTTTTTTTTTCGGAAAATTTTATGCAAATCTCTTTATAATCCATATAGATTTTTATTACAAATAATTTTCATATTATATTTTTATATGTTTTTAATATATCTATAAAAAAATATATTTTAGTTCAATTAGTTTTCATATAAGTTTTTAGTTAAAAAAAAAACTTTTACATGTTTAATAGTTCATGTTATTTTTATCATTATTTTCCTATAAATTTTTTCTGCTGGTCTTTTTATCTTTAATTCTTTTAATTATTTAATATTTCTATTTGGTTGACATTACTACAGAAAACAACATACATACTACAAATATTGTTGCATTTATCCTTTCGTTGGTGGTTTTTTGTGTAAAAAAGGACACGTTTTTATATTGTTGCTTTTGTTTTCTCTGTGTGTGTGTTTTTAGGTGTTTTTATTGTGAAATTATTTTTCCATTAAGTGTTGAAATGAATTGAAATTGTATTGTAAATATTTCATATGAATTTATATTCATGCAATATTTTCTCATTTATTCTGTCAGTTTACTTTTACTACTTCGTTCATTTTTTTGTTTTCCATTAATTAACATTATTAATGGCAATTTGATGATGATGATGATGGAGTTTATAATAGGGAAAATGGGAAATATTGTTAAGGACAAACAAAAGAATAATCAAGAGAAAATTTTTGTTTCGATTATTTCAATATTTGTACACAAATATGAAATAAATTTTTAATTTTTACGTTTTCTTTAGTAAATAAATATTTATTTTCTTTAGCAAATTCAAGAGAATTCAAGAAAAAGTTATCGATAACAATTCAATAGAAAAGTCAAGTAATCGATAACTTTTCTATGCAAAAGTCAAGCTATTGATAACTTTTCTATAGAAAAGTCAAACTATTGATAACTTTAAGTTAAGTTATTGATAATTCTGTAGAGAAGTAAAGTCATCGATAACTTTTCTATAGAAAAGTGAAGTAATCGATAACATTTTTATAGAAATGTGAAGTAATCGATAACATTTCTATGGAAGAATAAAGTTATCGATAACTTTTCTAGAGCAAAGCAAAGTTATCGATAACTTTTCTATAGAAATGTGAAGTTATCAATAACTTTTCTATAGAAAAATAAAGTTATCGATAACTTTTCTATAGAAAAATAAAGTTATCGATAACTTTTCTATAGAAAAATAAAGTTATCGATAGATAGAAAAGTAAAGTTATCGATAACTTTTCTATAGAAAAATAAAGTTATCGATAGATAGAAAAGTAAAGTTATTGATAGCTTTTCTATAGAAAAGTAAAGCAATTGATAACTTTGCTATAGAAAAGTAGAGTAATCGATAACTTTGCTATAGAAAAGTAAAGTAATCGATAACTTTTTATAGAGAAATAAAGTTATCGATAACTTTTCTATAGAAAAGTAAAGTTATCGATAACATTTGTATAGAAAAGTAAAGTTATCGATAACATTTCTATATAAAAGTAAAGTTATCGATAACTTTTCTATAGAAAATTAAAGTTATTGATAACTTTTCTATAGAAAAGTACAATTATCGATAACTTTTCTATAGAAAATTAAAGTTATCGATAACTTTTCTATAGAAGAGTAAAGTTATCGATAACTTTTCTATAGAAAAGTAAAGTTATCGATAACTTTTCTATAGAAAAGTAAAGTTATCGATAACTTTTCTATAGAAAAGTAAAGTTATCGATAACTTTTCTATAGAAAAGTAAAGTTATCGATAACTTTTCTATAGAAAAGTAAAGTTATCGATAACTTTTCTATAGAAAAGTCAAGTTATTGATAACTTTTCTATAGAAAAGTCAAGTTATCGATAACTTTTTTATATAAAAGTCATGTTATCGATAACTTTTCTATAGAAAAGTCAAGTTATTGATAACTTTTCCATAGAAAAGTCAAGTTAACGATAACTTTTCTATAGAAAAGTCAAGTTAACGATAACTGTTCTATAGAAAAGTCAAGTTATCGATAATTTTTCTATAGAAAAGTCATGTTATCGATAACTTTTCTATAAAAAGTAAAGTTATCAAAAACTTTTCTATAGAACACTAAAGAGTAAAGTCATCAATAACTTCCCCATAGAAAAGTGAAGTTATCGATAGCTTTTCTATAGAAGAGTAAAGTTATCAAGTCAAGTTATCGTTAAGTTTTCTACAAAAAAGTATAGTTATCGATAAATTTCTATACAAATTTGAAAGCTTTTTTTTATAAAATTTTTACCAAATTTAATTTTGATAAATTGATTTAAATTTCGCTTTTTTTCTCAGTGTACTTAACATTTTTTGGCTTCATATTATTTTAAATTCTTTTCCTTTGAATCCACCCAAAAAAAATCCTAATTTTCTTAAACAAATTTTAAATAAAAAACTTCTTAAGTTGTAAGTTGCTACTTCTGTTTTCTTGGCTATTTTCTATTTTCTTTTAACTTTCTTTAACAATTTCTATTTAAAGTTTTTTTATTACTCCAGGCAATATTTTTTTTGTCTTTTTTTAAAAACACTCAAAAAATACGTTCAATGATGGTTGCTTTCAACAAAAATTATAAATAATATAAAACAAAAGAAAAATAATATAATAAAACTTTTGCTTCTTTTGTTGCATTTCCCTTTTGTTCTGTCTGTGTGTGTGTGTATTTTTACAACATATTATGATAAGTTTAATTAAATTACAACTTATATTTTTGTTACAACACTTTTTTCTTCTACTATGAAGTATGTATGAGAAGTTTTCATACTAGTCCCTGTATGTTTGCTTTAAAAAACGCCAAGAGGTGAATGAAAAAGTAGTAGTAAACAAAACAAGAGTTGGCAGGATAAAACAAAACTAAAATCCATCAACAAGTTGTATGCTATAATAGTATAGAAAAGGAAAAACTGAAATGTTTACATACCTTGTTGTAGCTACTTTTAGAGTTAAACAGCATCATCATTTCTTGCTTAAAGCTTTTCTTATTCTTTTCCTTGTAATGTTGCTATCTCTTTCACTCTTACAATGTTTTTTTCCAAGACTTTTTTATGTGTGTTGTATGTAAATTACATTACATTACTTCATACCAGAATTTCAGCAGCAGAATTTTTACTTTTTTTTACAACTTTAACTGTAAATGTTAAGGAACTAGTTTGCAACGACGATCCTTGTTATTTAATATTTCCTTTTATTGTTGTTGTTTTTTCAAGAGAACTTTTTAAAGAGAGTTAGGTGGAGTTAAGAATATCCCCAGTGTGCAGAAAAAAGGAAAACAAAGCAAATAAAAATTGTTGGAGGGGTTGTATGCAATTGTTGCTGCTGCTGTTATTTTTATACTTATTGTTGCTTCTGTTACTGCTGTTTTCTTAAAAAATATGCTAATATTGTTGCTGTTATTATCCTTTTTTTGTGAAAACTTTGTTTCTCTTTTTTATGTTGTTTTGTAAACAATAATTCTCTTTTGCCTTAAAACATTTTCATTTCGTTGTTTTCGTTTCTTTTTTTTAATAAAATTTATATAAATATGTTTTTTAAAAACAATATTTTTTTTATTTTTTTTATTATTCTGCTATTGCTGTTGCACTTCCATTAGGAAAAAGTTTCTTTAAACTGTTTTTGTTTAGATTTTCTTTAGGATTTTCCATTTACAATTCTGCAAAAAAAAAGATAAAATTAAAAGGGATTATTAGGTTGTATTAAAAACACAGCATTACAATCATCTCTTAGCCAGAGAGTAATTTATTCTTGAATTTTAATTACATGGTTATGATAATACAAAATAAGTTAGGACTTAAATGTAGACATTAAACTTGAAGATTAATTCTTAAAAAACAAGACAGGATTTTGTTAAGGTGTGAATGTTCATTTAACTAAATTATAACATATTAGCAAGAATTTCCAAAAAAAAAGGGTTTCCAGTCATTTATTAAGATTATTAGCAAAATTAATAACAAATTTTTTAATAATTCTAACAAAAAATGTCTATAAATATAAAGTGTTTAACAGCAATATAAAAAAGTGTAAAATTTTTAAGAAAAGAGTCTAAAAATGTTGTAAAGAATAAATTTAAGCGATTGAAATATTTGTTAAAGAAAACAATTTATAAACAAATTTACAGAGCAATTTTAGACAAATAATTAAAGAGATCGAAAAACTTTCTATAAAATATTAAAGTGAGTGAAGATTTTCGATCGAAAGTGAAAAGAGTGAAACATTTTGCATATAATATTCAAGAAAAAGAGAGAGAAAATTTCAAGAGAAAGCTTTACATTTTATACTATATACATTATACTTTATACTTTGTACTTTATACTTTATACTTTGTACTTTATACTTTATACTTTATACTTTATACTTTATACTTTATACTTTATACTTTATACTTTATACTTTATACTTTATACTTTATACTTTATACTTTATACTTTATACTTTATACTTTATACTTTATACTTTATACTTTATACTTTATACTTTATACTTTATACTTTATACTTTATACATTATACATTATACATTATACTTTATACTTTATACTTTATACTTTATACTTTATACTTTATACTTTATACTTTATACTTTATACTTTATACTTTATACTTTATACTTTATACTTTATACTTTATACTTTATACTTTATACTTTATACTTTATACTTTATACTTTATACTTTATACTTTATACTTTATACTTTATACTTTATACTTTATACTTTATACTTTATACTTTATACTTTATACTTTATACTTTATACTTTATACTTTATACTTTTACTTTATACTCTATACTTCATACTTTATATTTTATACTTTTTACTTTATATTTTATACTTTAACCCACAGAAAATCCCACATTTTAAGTTAAACACCCAGTATTTTCATATAAATATTCGCTCGATCGCTTCAACAAATTAATTTATTGTTTTATTTTTAAAAAATTTTCCATGCAAATTTCTATTTTTACCCTGCTTAAGATATACAATGGTTTTAGTAAACCATTAATAGAAGAAAATCCCATCCAATCACTGAACCATTAACCATGGTCATTGAACATTGTGGCAGCAGTGGTGGATATTAAACATTCGTACCACCATTTATTCCCTCAGTCAGTCACATTGACGTTGTCGTCATTCTTTTAGTCAATTGTTAATACTTTTCTGGTTGAAACTTGCAATTGAAGAGAAATAAGTTGAATTTTCTTTATTTTTTTTTTCCTGACAATATTGAATCATTCTTGTGATTATAATAAAATAAATGGATTCAACAATGATACTTGAGTTGAGTTGTTTATTTTTTGTTCAGTTTCAGTTTTTTTGTATTATTTTTGGATTGATTTGTTGATGTTGCACTATGGGCCATGTGACAGTTAAATGTAAACTTTGCAAACTTTTTAAGGAAAATATTATTTAAAAGATTGTATATTTTTTGGAGTCAGAATATATCACTGTGCAATGTTGGTTTGGATCTATTGGTTGAAAAAAATTAAATCTGTTTTCTTTAGTTCAGTTGTTTCTGCTTTTAATTGGCATTATTTCTATTGTATTTGAAAGTACGTCATCAATTTCAGTTGTATTTTTTTTACACAAAAAATGAAATCTTTTACAACCATTGATGTGCAACGTCATCGCAGATTATTTGCAAGAAAAAAACAGACGTGATAAATATATCAACAAAAATCGTACAGACATTAAGATGAAATAAAAATAAATTAAAAAAAGAAAAATATGTACATCAATTAAAATAATCACACTGAAATAACAGACCATAAAACACAACAAGGAGATAAACAACATGACCCATAACCCCCAGTCTCGGGCGCTTGGTGGTTGTTTTTTTTTTACTCAGGCATAAACAGTCTGAGTGGCGTGTGGTCGATCGATATGGCGTTGTCGATATTCAATTAACATGGTTGAGGGCCAACAAATGTCTCGAACGGGAACAAAAAAAATAAAACAGACTTCAAAGTCAATGTCAGCCAGAAAAGTAATAAATAATTAATTAAATGTGTAAATTAAAAAGCTTTCAAATAAATTTTCCCTTAAATTCAAAATGAAAGAACAACAAGAAGCAACAGTTTGAAATTCCTAGACAACAGCTGTAAAATATTTTCCTTTAAATTGCTTTCAGAAAATATTTAAATATTCTATTATAGTC